GAGCACCAAGATCTGAGGAAGGACTCGTCTCGCATGACGGTGCCCGCTTCGATGATCACACTGAAGTCTGTCTCAGCCAAAAATACAGGGCAAAGGTACCTTCTGAAGACAAGCTGAAGGCCGGAGGTTCCCAACTGCTCCACACCTTCCTAATTGCCGTGCGACTCCTCCAGCAGTGCCAGCCAAGAGCCAGCTCTCGTCTCCTGCTCGGTCTTGTGGGCACGGAGAGCTGGTTCCCAGGAGACACTCCCTACCCGCAGGCAGGGCCGGGAGCTGGTCTCCTGCTCCCTTCACGCTTTGTGGAAGAAAGGCCGGGAGCCCAAACCCTGAGCTCCTGTCTGTCTCGGCGAGCAGCAGAGCGGGGAGCCAGTTCCCAAGCGTGGCTGGTGCCTGGGGTCAAGGAAATCAGCACAGCTTTGGGCCTGCCTGCGTGCAGAACAAGCTGGGAGCCACCGTGCTGGAGCCAGCCTCTGCCTACCCGGCAGGCCTGGAGCCACCTTCCAGCTCGCCCCAGTGCCACAAGCAAAGGCGGGAGCCGACTCCTCGGGGCCGTGAGGTCCCGTCTCCCACACAAGTGGAGTTCTGGCTTCTGGTTCAGCCCACGGCAGCCAGGCACAGGGGCTCTGTTGCCCTGGGGAAACCCAGCCAGGGTGGAATTCCCACTTTTAGGCAAGGAAGCAAGAAAATTTGAGCGCGGGGTGGCGCGGCGAAGAGCCAGGAAGATGTGAGGAAGCACTCAAGTGAATGGAGGATAAAGACATAGGAAAAAACGGTCCCAAGCCGGTGAAAGGGGCAGGTGTGCTGCTGCACAGACCCAAAAGCACTGCAGCTGGCGTTACCCACAACGACAGCTTGTTCTAAAGAGAGGGGGCTTCAAGGAAGGAGCAGAGATCATACCGCAGAGCACTTCCCATCCCTCCACACAGTCAGTAGTTTCGTCTTTAAAAACACACCACCCCCTGATCCCAGGGAATCCGTGGTGAAAAAGCAAGTTGGATTTAACCTACAAACAGAAAGACTGACCCCAGTTAACCTCAAATTCTTAACATTCAGAACTTCAAGTCCTAATGTCCTATGAGAATTTTCTCCAAGCAACGTCAGTGCCCCCAGGACAGCATTGTTCATTCATGTCTTCAAGCTCCATCACAGCCAGCTTGGATCTTGTCCGCCAGCATTCTCCAGGAGCAAAATTCTGCTCTCAAGGCAACGGGGCGGGGAGGGGGGAAGGAAGCCAGTCGGTTCAGGGTGAGGCCCTGTCCCTCTATTGAATGTCTTTTGCTTGGGATGCTTCCTACGGACACAGCTCGAGGCACCTTGCGTATGTCATTGGAGATCACCTTCACAAAGTTCCTGCTTTCTGCTAGACTTCCTTCAAAGAAGGCAAGCACCACGAAGAAGACAGCCTGTCTTGGCCAGAAACAAGAGGAAATGAAGGCTTTCTCTTCCTGGTAGTGACAACTCTGCTCTTCCAGAGGAATGAAGATATTCCCAGAACAGCTCCAGTACCTGGCTCTTGCATGGAAATCAGATGCTCATCTGCTTCCTCCTTCCCTCTCACGCCACCTCCTGAGTTTCCCCAGAGCAAGAAACTGATATTGTTTGGATATTGCCACCAAAAGCTATGTTTCGTTGGACTCCAGATTTGCCTTTGTCAGAGAAAAAAGGTGCTTTCTGACTTGATGCAAGGTAAGAGATAGGAAAATCCCAGCTAGTACAAAAGCAGTCTCAAATTCCTTTTGATGGGGCCAGGCTCCTCACAATCTTTACTTCAACTTGTTAACATATGAAAGTTACAGACTGCCCTCTGATTATGCCACTGCAATTTTATTTTAATTCCTTATCATACGTTAGCTATCTTGAAGGAACAAGGACATTGCTCCCCCATCTCTGTGCCTTGTAAAACCTCCTTAATTTGGGCCCAAAAGAAAAATTCCAGCTCAAGAAAATCAAACATCAAGAAGTGAAAAGAACAGTAATTTCAGACCAAATACAATGTTTAATTATTGGCATGACAAATGGCAAAGGAACCCACAGCAATGGAACTTTAAGCCTCATCAAGCCACTAGGAATATTGTAAAGTCTATACCCAGGACATTTGCATTCCCTTGTCTACTTTAGAGATCAAAAGCCACACACATGCCTCAGAAGTTCTGGCAAGTACCAATACCCCTCCGGACAGTCCAAGCAGGAGATGTACGCTTCATGGCTGCAATGACTTGGGGAACATCAACTACCGCGTTAGTGTCGGTATTTAGGACAGAGAACTCCCCACACTAGTTGACCTTTTCAAAATCCACGGTCTATTGATGTCGGTACGACTCGGCAGCTAACGCCAGATGCTCTTCTGACAGAGGGCACGTTGGATTACACAGGGCAGGCGGCGCAGTGGAAGACTCCTGCTGCGCTTCTACTGACCCTTCGATGGCATGAGACACGGTGCCCTGTTTGCCACTGCCTTTTGGTACTCCCTTTCCCCAACGATCCACGGTTCACAAACTCCTGGATACGACCAGGGGACAGTGGTTTTCCTCCTCCCTCGCTAGCTTTCATCGCCCACTCCTCTACCACGTCACTGACCGACATCCCGTCCGCAGTCAGACTGCCCGATGCAGGTATTACAGACTCTTCACATGCCATGAACAAATCTTAAACGTTTCAGCCTGTGATTTAACCAGCAAAAAGTACCCAATTATGCACTAGAACCCACTCCAAGTTACTGTTCAGTTCTAACAGTACCGTCTCCTAATCCTCTCAGTCCAGTACTAAAATAAAACCCAGACAATTTCAAAACGTAGCTTTGCCTTAAACCCGCAGCCGAAGTTCCACGGCTACCCGCACGTCACTGACGAAACGCGGTCAGTCAAACATAGCGAAGCAGCAATGTCCTTCAGTAGCCAGGAGTTATTTTCTTTGTTTAGATCTTTTTTTAAAGGAACCTGTTTCACAGTTACAGAGGAATTTGTGACGGAAGGACAGCTGGACGTCATCTGGTCCCACCTCCTGCCAAAGAAGGTCCCTCCAGGTCAGGTTGCTCAGGGCCTTGGCCAGCTGAGGTGTGAGTATCTCCAACGATGGAGATTCCAAAACCTCTCTGGGCAACTGTGGTTTGATCCTAAACCGATATTTAATGAAAATATCTGATAAATGGAAGCTTTTCAATCCATATTAAAACAGTGTTTAATTGTTCAAGTTTTAAAAGGCAAAATGTTGACGCTGCAGTGTCTGGAGCCGTGAGAGCACAAGAGCTAAAGCCAGCAAAAGATACAACCATTTCTGTGTTCGCATTGTTTGAACCAGAGCTGGTGGAAAGCCACACAAACAACAGGTTGAAGAAGATTTTAAATACTCGTTTTTAGAAATCCATGAGGTCATTTGCATCAACCTTTGAAAAAATTAAACTGTGAAACTCAAATTTTAAAATAAATTGCAAAGCTCTAAAACAAAGAATCGTTAGTCCCTGTGCTGCCAAATGAAAAGCACCTATTTGGAAATCTGAAATTTTTAAAAGAAAAAACCTGAAAGCCAATCTCCCACTGTATTTTACATTTAAGAAAAGCCACTTGACAGAACAAGCTACTAAAATCTTTACAGGCTACAGTCCGTAAATATCTGATATATTAAATCTGAAACTCTTTCAAACTATTTGCACAAATACATAAATTTTTCACGTGGTGTCATCAAGCCAACGAGGCCAGTACCACCTCCATGTATAGCCAGAAAAAACTTCTTGATCATCTACAAAAATCCCCCTGCCCTTCCAAGACAGCTGCCACACTCTTGCAGAAGAGCTGTCACCATCGGCTCTACTTTAAAGATGTTCTCTACATTTGAGGGAAGCTGTACCTTTACACAGTTCAGCGATCTGGGCGTGGTATAGACAGCCTGTACCAAACCCCTGAGCCTTGAGAAAAAATGAGATCACCCCGGTGACACCGGTAACAGCAACTTCTGTAAAGAACACAGGCTACCTTCTGCAAAGAGGAAAACAAAAGACAAACTTGAAAAGACACGAATTACCAGGTTAACAAGAGTTCCACAGGCACCAATAACCTTTTCAAACCCTTCTGGCAGCAACTGCTTCTGTATCTGTCGTACTTAAGGCCCTGCAGATGAACATACGCACGTTATAGCTACCACTTGGATTAAATTAATGCAAAGAGAGTGGAATAGATGTTTTAGTATAGAGAGATACGG